GCCGTGTCTATGGGGGAAGTCGCGAAACATCTCCTTCTCGAAGGTTGCCAAGCAGGTTGTCATGTCGTTTTGCGTGGCAGGTGTGGCACTTCGTGACATTCCAACCTGTTTGATAACGTGCAGAAAATATCAAAATGGAGGAAGTCTTCTAGGAAATGCGTGTTTTTCTGCATCCACGTGTTTGGTCTCGAGTCTAACGTTTTCCTGCGGCGTCGCCGTGTCTATAGGGGAAGCTCCGCACTCCACACTCTACACTCTACACTTTACACTCCACACTTTACACTCCTCACTCCACACTTTACACTCCGCACTCCTCACTTTACACTCCACACTTCACACTCCACACTCCACACTCTACACTTTCCACTCCACACTCCACACTTTACACTCCTCACTGCACACTCCACGCTTGACATTCTACACTCCAGACTTTACACTTTACACTGCTCACTCCACACTTTACACTCCACACTCCTCACTTTACACTCCACACTCCTCACTTTACACTCCACACTTCTCACTTTGCACTCCGCACTCCACACTCTACACTTTCCCCTCCACACTCCACACTCCACACTTTACACTCCACATTCCACACTCCACAATTTACACTTTAGACTCCCGACTCCACACTCCACACGCTACACTTTACAATCCACACTTTACACTTTGCACTTTACACTCCTCACTCGACACTTTACCCTCCACACTCCACACTTCACACTCCACGCTCCACACTCTACACTTTACATTCTACACTTTACACTCTACACTCCACACTTTACATTTTTACACTGCACACTTGACACTTTACACATTACACTTTACACTCCTCACTCCACACTCCACACTTCACACTCCACACTCTACACTTTCCACTCCGCACTTTACACTTTACACTCCTCACTGCACACTCCACACTCTACACTTTACACTCTACACTCCACACTCTACACTTTACACTCTACACTTTACACTCTACACTCCACGCTCGACAATCTACACTTTACACACTCCACACTCCTTACTCCACACTTTACACTCCACACTTCACACTTTACACTTCTCACTCCACACTCCACACTCGACACTCTACACTTTACACTCCATTTACACTTTACACTCTACACTTTACACTCTACACTCCACACCCCACACTCTACAATTTACAAACTCCACACTCCACACTCCTCACTCCACACTTTACACTCCACACTCCTCACTTTACACTCCACACTCCACACTCTACACTTTCCACTTTCCACTCCACACTCTACGCTCAACACTGCACACTTTACACTTTACACATTACACTTTACACTCCTCACTCCACACTCCACACTTCACACTCCACACTCTACACTTTCCACTCCGCACTTTACACTTTACACTCCTCACTGCACACTCCACACTCTACACTTTACACTCTACACTCCACACTCTACACTTTACACTCTACACTTTACACTCTACACTCCACGCTCGACAATCTACACTTTACACGCTCCACACTCCTTACTCCACACTTTACACTCCACACTTCACACTTTCCACTCCACACTCCACACTCCACAGTCTACACTCGACACTTTACACTCCACACTCCACACTTTACACTTTATACTTCTCACTCCACACTCCACACTCGACACTCTACACTTTACACTCCATTTACACTTTACACTCTACACTTTACACTCTACACTCCACACCCCACACTCTACAATTTACAAACTCCACACTCCACACTCCTCACTCCACACTTTACACTCCACACTCCTCACTTTACACTCCACACTCCACACTCTACACTTTCCACTTTCCACTCCACACTCTACGCTCAACACTCCACACTTTACACTCCACACTACGCACTTTACACTCCTCACTCCACACTTTACACTCCGCACTCCTCACTTTACGCTCCACACTTTGCACCCCACACTCCACACTCTACACTTTACACTCCACACTGCAGACTGGTAACAGCGGAAATATGTACAAGACTGTTCAAATAAACTATTGCAGAAAAGTGTTCTGCGTGATTGCATATCCATGTGTTTTGACATCTGTGCCATTAACATACGTGTGAGCATTCGGGTTCGTGGGCTGCATCTTGTTTTTTCAACTCTTTATCTGTCTTAACTTCTCAGCATGGTTCAACAGCTTAGCTACATTTCCATGACTCCTGATCGTTCCCGTTCCCGTGATGATCCTCCCATGTGGGAACACCCACATCCAGATCGACCTCATGACCCAACACATCAAAGGTCCTGGAACTATACTCCGGCACTACGACGGACACGACGGGTATTGATCATCATAGATCTTGACCCAATCCGAAACCTGATGACTGAACGCTTCAGCGACGTGAGTGATGCAAGCAACCACCTGTGAACACCTTCCTAACCTCTCTCAGAGTGAAGAAATGGCACTGTTCACTTACAGCTTCTTATTGACCCCTGGTCAAATCCAAATTACGTCAATCGAGAATATTCTCTTCTACATCAGCCAGCATATCCACAACACTTGGGGAACATATCTCGAACCAACCTCCATGGACCTTCGATGGAGTGATTGCACTGGCGATACTTTTGCTCTTCGTTCTCAACGAATCATCATCCGCCTTCTACGTGAACATCGCCCTCACTGGACTGAGGCTCAAGAAGTAGGTATCTTCAATCGATTAGTTGATTTCACTAGTCCAAGTCAACCATACATCATGCGTCTCAGCTGCCATAAGGCCTTACCAAATCCGAACATGCTACCGTGATCGCTCTCAGGATCAAAACATGCGTGCTGCATCAATCTCATTTGTGATTTGTCAGTCACCTTGGCATCGTTGGCCTTTTTGACTTTTCCTTAATAATAATCCCAGATACTCCCCTCTACTTTGTATATGTTTGGCTCCACAGAGCAATATGACAAAGAGGGACTCCTCCTCTGCTGATTTAGATTCCCCACGGAACCTCCGTTTTGATTCTTGGTCAGAGCCCGTGAATCCTTATCGTCATCGCCATGCCTCTGAAGCCGCATCTTCGTCAGCTGCTGATTCCTCTTCACGCCAGGGACTTCGTCTACCAGGCACATCAACGGCACAAGGCTACTACCCACCTGCTCAGTTTGGCTATTCGTCACCGGCACCAGCCATTCCAATGCCAACCACCAATCAAAACTGGCATCACCAAGAAGCACCCGCTTCAATCCGAGATGTCTCAACATCACCGGGTACTTCATACCCATATGTTTAAAGAAGTCACTACATACCAATCCGGCACTCCAGTGCGCCGATTGATGATCACGGAGGTTGACAGTCAGGGAACGGAATGCAATCGTCAACCGGAATTTTTCTTCAATGGAATGATTGGTCATGTACAACCAAGGGGAGGCGGCTATGTAGATAGCTGGGCTGAAGCCACCTGCTTATCAAATTACTGGCGCCAGTTTTACAACATTGACCAGGTCTATGAGGATCACTCTGCTTGGTATCCACAAGACCATCAATACCATGGATCGCCTCGCAATGCTGCCTTAGGTGGTGAGGATGCAGAAATCTCAGACCTGGCAGACGATACCTCAGTGGCAGTTGAAACAGGCCAACTGTCTGTTCCAAGCCAGATCAACCAACTGGCTACTGTCCTTTACAGCGTTCTGATTGCGGATCGTGAATTCAATGCTCCGATCCTTGAGAAGATTGAAACTTCCCCAGCTGATCCAAATGCCAATCCTATTCAGGTATGGTCAGCAGCAGATTTATCCCATCTCTCAAGCCATCTTGCCATCACGGCAAGCACTCTGGCCCAACATGTTCAAGCATATAGCCTCGAGGATATCTCTGACATTTCGGACTAGATCTTGGCCATTTTCGCCTTTGGCTTCTGAATCCTGGACATGCTTCCATTTTCTATAATTCATTTGGTCTCTGGCATTTTGATTTCTAGATCCGAGACCAGTTGACCGTATCAGAGCTTTGTTTCACGAGATTGGTGCATCTTCCAAAAAAGCCCTGCGGCAGCAGGGCGTGTGTGTGAACCATCTGAACAGATGTAAAACTTCTAATTTTCCAGTTTCCAGTTTTCAAAGGCAGGGGCGTCAGGCCCATCATACCTACCTGACGCAACGAAGCTATGGTATGATGGGGGAAGGGTGAACTGATCATTCACCTGTACCTGCAGATCTTGGCATGGATGTCGTGGACATAGCTTGCAAGATTATCTTGACAATCTCATTTATTTTCGAGATGGCATCCGGCCAAGCCCAGAACCGGCACGTCGTTTTTTCAAACAATTTTCAAGCCAAACTTGATGTCAGGGAGGTAATGACTTGGCTCAGATGGAAATGTTGCATCTAGCAGTGGCCTTGAAATACATTCTTCTCGATCCTTCTCGGATCTGATCTTCAACCTTTTCCTGTCAGGTATATTTGGAGTGTTTTTGCACGTAGGATGCATTCCACATCAGAATTCGCAAAGATTGTTCTGAGCAGGTGTGTGTGTGTGCGCGTGCGTCATGCTCCCAGCACCCTAAAAGTTGGCTCGACACTTGCAGTACAAAACAAGCCGGGGCAACATCCCAGTCGCATTCCACAACGTGTCTGGAAGAAAATCCCTTTTTCTATTGAGTAAGAACATTTAATATGGCCAAGGGCAAGTCCGGGAATGAAATCAAACCGACTGGCCAATCGGCATGTTGTATCCATCCCAGGCATCAACCATTGATTGTCTGTGGTCCCAGCTGTCGAACTTTTGCAAAAATAATCGTGTGCATCAACTTGAATGGTTACATTAGAGTGGCTGGAACACAGCCAAACATGTCTAACAACAGCTGTGCAGAGTGAACAATGCTGAAACATGTACCCTTTCAATTCAATGATCGCAAAGGACATGGCAACATGGCTGCTAAATTGCATTGTTACCTGCTCAAGCTACAGTCTGCATACAAAAATTATGCCATTGATCCCGTGTCAACGTGTCGCAATTATCATGGCAATCTTGGCCCCACCTTCAAGTCGGCACTTGCATACTTGTCGATACTCACGGCTTCGTAATCGGTCGTCAAGATTCCTTGGGCACCAAAATTGCATGCCTCCGTGTGGGTCAAATTGGCATCACCATCACAAAAAAGGAATCTTCAATGCATGGCAAAGTCTCGTTCAGATAATGTCAGCAACAGCATTGTGTATGTCAAATTATAGCATTGGAACAGCGCTCTGATGAGTGACCAGAGACCCCAAGAGTCTTCAAGCAATCACAGTTGCTTGTCCCAACACACTTGCACCCATGCGATAATGAGCCCTGGTACATTGTACCAGTGCAAATTGCTTCACTTTAGATGACCGCTACAAGAGTCCCCAACCTTAAAGAGGCCTAGATTAGACTCAAACACTGCGAAGCTGGAACTGTCGTACTATCAGTTAAATATCGAAGGGATCCACAACATGCAAAGACACCATGCTGGAATGTCAGTGATATGCATATTAAGCTGAATAGCCCTGTGCTTCCAAAATATGGGTGCTTGATGGTGCTTGTGCATGTTTTTGCCACAAAAAGAGACGATGCTTAACAGCAATAGCAAGGCGGACCGCATCTGAAAAAATGGTCAGCTGATGACTGCAACTGGTCCAGCCGAGTCATGCCGAGTCTCCTGCGCGATGGGCTGAAGAATCAAAGTCCGGGTAAATCATTTTATGCGCGTCCAGCCTGCACCGTGATGCAGCATGCACCACACAAAAAATGAGGGAATCATCAGTGTAATTCAATGTACCTTGATATTCCAATTTTTACATGACTTTCTATGAAACTTTATCATCTTTGTCTCTTTTCATATTTTTGCTTTTGACCTTCCACTTGTGCAAGACCTGACACTTGTGCAATACGTGTAGCCGGTTTTATTGAAGCCAAGGCGCGACAGAAAGGTGGGGTCAGGCTCCCACCAATAGAAGGATGACTTGACCTGGACACACCAGAGCAGATCAGGATAGTGGAGGTGACGTGATGTGACAAACATCTGCTAATATTCAGGGTCCAAAAATTAGAGTTCCTGTGCATTGTACACAAATGAAAGATGATGAAAGAGGTTGACGATGGTGCCTCAAGTAGGCCCAGGAGTTTCGGATGGCTGTGGGATTTCTTGTCCCCTCATTAGCCATTTTGGGGGGGGCGCGCTGGTCATAACATTCGCTTGAACTTGTTTCACCGCAAGCCTCAGGAACCATATGAAACCATTTTTCAGCATGTTTCAGCACTTCTCAACACAAGAACAGTTGTAAGAAAATTGTAACGTGTGCAGTTGCAGAAGTCTTCAAAAGGCAGCGAAGGTCGTCCTTCGTCTGACTTCGAAGTTGTGTGATAGAAATGGTTCACCGGAGCGGTGGCTAGGCACGCACCGGCTTGACTCTACCCTTGTGATCCCTGCAGTTCCGCGTACCATGTCTACTCACTACCTGGTTGTACCTAGTTATTTCAATTCTGATCCGTTTCCATTCGCTTTCGTGCTGAGTACTGCGTCACTGCTTTGGGTGTCCCCTGCGACGCCGGGCTTACAATTTTCATGGTGAGGAGGTCCTGGCAATCCACAAATATGATCAAACAATATCAACACTTTTTTTCCTTGCTCTGCAGCTACCACCCTTTCCAATCTCCATCTCTCCATATTTCATCATCTCTCCGTCTCGCCTGGGTGGGTAATGCTATATAATCACTCCAAAGCTTGGCCACCACCATCACCTTAGAGTTTCCACCAGTGATGGAAATGCTGGTAGTCGCCACAGGCCCTGGGGAACAACGGGAACAACCGAAACAGTGAATCAATATTGATCAGCCGGTAGATGAGGCCAGCAACTCAGCCGTCGATTGGCCGGGGAAAAAAAACGTGCCCACCCGTCAACAGTGGTGGTCGTCACACGTCATCATGAGTGGGCACCATCGACGATGGAAGGTCTCTTGCGAACCAGTCAACTCACCTACCAATCACCAATCCTCACAAGCCTACCTGTGAACCAACCAATATTAACCAAAAACAAACAACAAAGCAAAATCGACAATACTCACTGGTACCGAAGAAAAGCCAGCAAAACCAATATAGCCCATTCGCTCTGCGTGTCGGCAGTGGATCCCAAAATGAGTCCTATTGGATAGTCCGGGTTGATCCGAGTCACCACTGGCATGTTGAACACTGCAGCCCTTTGCATGAAATGCTCATAGGCGTAGCCGGGACCTGTCTGACACATTTCATCACCCTGGAACTAGATAAAACTGGACCGATTCAGCACAACGGTCGAACAAGTTGCATGTAGAGTATGAGTTGAGACTTGGGAGTCAGATTGGACTCTGGAGTTTTGCAATCTGATAATCTTTCAATCTTGATTAACCCTGGGAGGAGAGAATCCCAGAAAACACGCCGATGTGAAACTCAAATGGAAAGGTCTTCCGGGTTATACATCTCCATCCGGAGGGAGTTCCTAATAGTTTCTCTAAAAAGAACAGTTGCTGACCCATCACTGCCTGCTGTAATGACTGGATAGCAAGTCATAGGGTTGGCCCGGCAGACAGGGGCAAACCAATAGTGTCCTGCTCATGGGAGCTCCGGTGGTGCATATTATCTTGATGTTGGGATGGCATCTTGGTGTTTGCAGTGTGCCCTGTCTTCACAATTCCAATCGGCAATAGCTTCTGCTTTGCCAAGGCCGGTTCACTTACAAGGTCTAGACGCGAGGAAAACATAATATATTTTTTGCACATCCGCAGATCACAAATCCATTCCAACCGCCAAAAGGCCTTATATACAAATTCAAAGTGGATAAAGTGCAAAAAAACTGGAAAAACAGGACATGTTCAGATATGTTTGGAATTGATGTATGATCCCATTCGAAATCGTGCTGTCTTCATGCCTAGCTCTGCTGAATCTTGAAGTCACTGAACCCCATCGGTGTTCACATGTGTTTCATGACGAGTCTGACGGATCCTTGGAAGCACTTGCCCACCACCGTTCCAGAACCTGAGCCCGTCGTTGGACCTAATGTGATCCAACTGACTTGAACAAAAATCTGTTTGCAGTGTTTGTAATATGTTTGTATATTTGTGGCTGTGTTCACCAACAAAAGACATGTAAGTACAAGGCGTCCGCGAGAAAAGATCCATCAAACCACCCCATCCTCCAACAAAACGACATTTCCCAGGCAACAATAGCTAGCAGCTAGAAACACCTTTGGCGCAGCCGTTTCCATTTACTTCCGAACCCAAGGACAGAGCTCAAATGCAGCCATTGCGCTTCGTTCAGCGCGCTTCATCTTAAACCCGGGATCACAAAAACTATGAAATTGCACAAAACACACACACAATTCAAGGGAACACACCGCACCTGAAAGAATCACGAAAATCACGTGCTCAATTGGCTTGTCATGTATCTTACCTTGTCACCCCATCATGCACAAACTACGTTCCGGCGCGAATTGCGGCCCCACTGTTTTTAACTGTTCTTTACGTGTTTTATTTGTGCCATTTTGCATGGATTTGTGTAAAACTGTGGTGGCGTCGCGATTTCCTTTGTTTCTCTTGAAATGGGAACGGTTATTTTGTCCCAGGTTACGATAGGAAATTTGTCATTCATCATTGAATGACATCGGTCGAAGTATTTGCCAAAGTTGGATTTCGAACATTTGTTTCCCAGTGCTTTTTGCGGCCTCATTTTCTAGCCTCATCGTTTGCGTTGGTTTGCCTTGGCTGCCAATTTGGCCAGACTTCCTTTCAAGTCTTGCTTGTTGTTCCAACGATAGTCAATAAACCATTCATAATTATTTCTTTTGGTCTTTTGTCTTTGGTAGACAGAGAAAAAGGAACGTAGCGCTTCATTTGACGCCAGACCTGGTCAAGGGCTTGTGTTCCACTGATTTGACTTTTTTCTCTTCAGCGTAGCATCAACGTGCATGCCCCTTGCCTCCCCACGCCCCACCCCACCCAGTTCCCCATGAAAATCACACGCAACTTCCAACTCACGTGCGCAACTTCTAACTGTCCCGCGCAACTTCTAACTGACTTGCCCAGTTTCTAACTGATGTGCAATATTGTGCAATGCATCAACAAAAACAGCGGGTCCATTAACAGCGCCAGTAGCACATAGCATTGTGTTTTGAAAAATCCGCCGACCCCGCTTTGGCACTAGCTGGGGCGGCGCCCGGGTCGCAAAGCTTTGCTTGTCCTATTGCTTGGCTGGCTATGGCCGCGGCAGTCCATTGGTGTTCACGGCATGAGCCTCCGGCCGGGACCTGGGGCGGTGCTGTTCTCGGACGGTGCCTGGGCCCAAATCTTTCTTTTCTTGGCGTTCAGCTGTCACGCTGCAGGCATGCGCCATATTGTTGATTCCAGCCTTGACTAACTATTCATATAGCCTTGGAGAATCCATTCATTGTTTAACATTTTCCCAAGAACGAAGGCTTTCCACATATCTATGGTTGGCTTGGCCCAGGGGCACTTACAAAATGTGGCTGTCGTGCTGGCAACCATATGCCGTGCCCTTCCCCCCTCATCAGCCCATTGTACTTTTCTTGCGCATATGAAACACACATTTACGAGATTTTACGAATAAAATTATTTGCGTTGAGTTACAGTGGTGTTGAGCTGTGCTCAGTCGACTCTGTTGTCTTGACTTGCGCTGGGGTGAGGTGTGAGAGTGTTGTAGGGTAATGTTCAGTTCAATCATTTAGCGTTTAGTGGTGCTGCTTGGTTGTGTGTTACGTTGTCAATGTGGCTTTGCTCTGTATTTTTAGTCTTCCACAACTTGGAAGTTTCACTTCTAGGTTGTCCATAGACAAGCTGGAAACACGTCCACCAAGAACTTGCCACAACTCTGATTGGTCATGATTTCGAGAGTCCTGATGGCCAGCTGGTGGCACAGAACGAAATCTTTCAGAACCTTAACAATCCAAATCTCTTAGATACCCAGACTATGCTGGGTAACTGGAAATATGGTTGCAATTCCCGAACTGCATGGCATGTAGGTTTCCTGATTAAAACACATTGAAACATGGGAGACGAAGGTATTGTTCACCATTTGTCTTTGCATTTTGGACACGTAAGAAACGCTGCATTTTGGACACATAAGAAAATGGTGTGTTGCCCAAAAGACAGAAAACCAAGGAATCTGCTGGTCCCATAGCATAAAGCATCTACATGATCTTGGGTGATGAAAAAAGCCTCGGGAGTCAAAAGGGAACGTAAAGGCAAAAAACACGTGGGTGAGCCAGCTTCGGCAGCGTTTGCTGTAAAGCTGAAAGGGGCCCGACAAACCATGCCCCTTCAACCCAGGCGAACAAATACTTTCTCAAAAAAGAGAATCACTGACACCGCTGGCACCGTGAAGGGAGGCCCTGGATGGGATCGATGGGACATCTGGAGGAAACATTCCAACATATTTCAACAATATAGCAGAAGACAGTGTGTTGATATGAGTTGCACGAGGTGCAAGACCGGCTCCCAGAACCTCCCAAAGACCAGGCTGACCATTCAGCTCCGCATGGTCTCAGCATGTCTCAGCAGTATCCAATGCTGGTCGTTGCCGTCAGGTTGCTATTGTCAATGCCATCCCAATCTCCAGTGACACGAGCGTATTGCTCCATGGCCTACATGAGGACGGCCCCAAGAGGTCCCAAGATGTCCCAAGTCATGCAAGTACCACTGTGAAATCATTTCCAAGTAGCGACAGTGAACAGAATGAACAGAACTTTACCGCAACTGGACTGCGAGTTTCGTCATTGCGGGAATGCTGGGAATGTTGCAGGATGTTGAATCATGGGGAATACGATCAATTGACCTTGCTGTTCATCAGGCGGGTTTCGTTGCAGAATTTGATGTTCCTGGGGCCGAGCGCAAGGGTCAGGCGACCATGGTGTCATCGCAGAGTTTTCCAAAGTTAGTGGACAGTTGTCAAAACACGTGAAAACAAGTTGTCAAATAGCGACGTTGGTTGCTGCTTCGAGTTAGCTGTTTTCCAATCTCCCCTTGCTGAGGTTTCTGTTGTTTTTGGGACGCTTGACTCCCCCTGGGTTAGCAATTGCACCAAGTTGCTCGGTGTTGAAGGCACTGATATTATCGAAGTATCTGGATGGATTAGTCCTTGGCTATCGACTCAAAGATAGGGCATCACATGTCATCACATGACACCTATTCCTTGAATCATGGGCCATGTTGGCAAACTGCCGCCAATTCAGCGGAACTCGCTTGAGGCGAATCTACGGGTGAATTAGATGATCAGACATGGCGATCATGGTGCAAACTGCCCTAAACATGTTCAAGTTTGATGCTATTTGTCTGCCAAGGCACCATGAAGCATTGTGGCTACCTGGGGAAATTGTCGGACATTCATCGCCAAAAACTTCCCAAGATTGGGAATTCTGGCTAAAACTACCTCGCCTGATCTACTGCAACTACACTAGAGCCAAGACTTGTTTACTTATCTTCGAACTCTCTTTCAATTCCAATTTCTCCGGTTTTCAAGGTAGAAACATACGATCGCCAATCGTGAAGAGTCAGTTCTGCAATCCAATTAAGTCTCTGCCAGCCGGTTGTTTTTTCCGTCAGGTTGAAAAGTACCAACGCATTCTTGCCACATCATGCTATTTCGTTTGGCTTAGAACCAATTGAGCGGTCAGGACAAACCTATGGGGCAACAACCGAACAACCCCGCTTGATTTAGACAAATCATCCCAGCAAAACTCGCTGTTTTCTCCTCACACTATCACACAAATGCCAAGCTGCGGTAAAAAACCAAAGTCAAACCCTCCTTGGCGGATTGCCAGTCATCTGGGTACCCCATGGTACTGGTCCTGGTACTTCCTGCCTACTTGGTCGAAGAATTCTTGCCAGCCACTACAAACACTACCAGTACTACCACACAAGGCGGTGGTGGAAGTTTCAAAGATAGGACACTATAGGAGAGGTGAGTTGGTGCGACGCATGGATGGCAAAGCGAATCCACTGACGGATGGAAAGGTGGTTGCAGTGTCGGGCTATCTATCTATCTGTCTGTCTGTTTTTCTATTTATCTGCCTAATTATCTACCTATCTATCTATCTATCTGTCTGTCTGTCTGTCTACCTATCTATCTATCCATCTATCTATCTATCTATCTATCTATCTATCTCTATCTATCTCTATCTATCTATCTATCTTTCTACCTATCTTTCTATCTGTCTATCTGTCCATCTACCTGTCCACCTGTCCATCTGTCTATCTATCTATCTATCTATCTACCTATCTATCCATCTATGTATGCACCTACATATCTTTCTATCCACCCATCTGTCTATCTATCTATCTATCTATCTATCTATCTATCTATCTATCTATCTATCCACCTATCTATCTATCTATCCATCCATCTATCTATCTCCCTATCTATCCATCTATCCAACTATCCATCTATCTATCGGTCTACCTATCTATCTATCTATCTATCTAATCTAACCTAACCTAATCTAATCTAATCTATCTATCCATCTATCTAACCTATCTAACCTATCTATTCTATCTATTTTATCTAGTCTATCTAATCAATCTAATCTATCTACTCTAATTATTCTAACTATTCTATCTATTCTATCTGTTCTATCTGTTCTATCTGTTCTATCTATCCTATCGATCCTATCTATCCTATCTACCCTATCTATCCGATCTACCCTATCCATCCTATCTACCCTATCTATCCTGTCTATCCTATCTATCCTATCCATCCTATCTAGCTACCTACCTATCTTTCGTTCTTTCTAGCATTCTTGCTTTCTTTCTCTCGTTCTTTCTTTCTTTCTTTTCAATCTCTCTATCCGATCTATCCGATCTATCCTTTCCATCCTACCTATCCTACCTATCCTACCTATCCTACCTATCCTACCTATCCTACCTATCCTACCTATCCTACCTATCTTACCTATCTTACTATCTATCTATCTATCTATCTATCTATGTATTTATCTCCCTATCTGAGCTATAAAAACTCTATGGGCAATCTAATCTATCTAATCTATCTAATCTGTCTAATCTATCTAACCTGTCTAATCTATCTAATCTATCTAATCTATCTAATCTATCTAATCTATCTAATCTATCTATCTATCAATCTATCTATCTAATGGATCTAATCGATCTATCTATCTATCCATCTATCTATCTATCTATGTATGTATCTATCCATCTATCCATCTATCTACCTATCTATCTATCTGTCTATCAATCTATCTATCAGTCTATCAATCAATCTATCTATCTATACATTTAATCTATCTATCTATCTATCTATCCATCCATCCATCCATCTATCTATCATTCTGTACTATTCTATTCTAGTCTAGTCTAGTCGATTCGATTCTATTCTGTTCCGTTCTACTCTATCTATTCTATCTATTCTATCTATTCTATCTATTCTATCTAGTCCATTGATCCTATCCATCCTATCGATCCTATCGATCCTATCGTATCCTATCGATCCTATCGATCCTATCGACCCTACCGTATCCTATCCTACCCTATCCTACCCTATCCTATGCTATCCTATCCTATCTATCGATCTAAGCTATCTAATATTCCGAAGTAATCTATGTGATCTATGTAATCTATCCATCTATCTACCTACCTATCTACCTACCTATCCGTCTATTCATCTATCCATCTATCCATCTATCCATCTATCCATCTAACCTTCTATCCATCTATCCACCTATCCACCTATCTACCTATCTACCTATCTACCTATCTACCTATCTACCTATCTACCTATCTACCTATCTACCTATCTACCTATCTACCTATCTATCTATCTATCTATATTGATCTATATCTATCTATCTATCTATTTATCTATCTATTTATTGATCTATATCTATCTATCTATCCATCTATCTATCTATCTATCTATCCGCTTATCTATCTATATATGTGCCTAACTATCTATCTACCTATCTACCTATCTACCTATCTACCTATTTACCTATCTACCTATTTACCTATCTACCTTTCTATCTATCTAACTATCTATCTATCTATCCATCCATCCATCCATCCATCCATCCGTCTATCCGTCTATCTATCGATCTATCTATCTATCTATCTATGTATCTATCTATCTATCTATCTAATGGATCCAATCGATCTATCGATCTACCGATCTACCGATCTATCTATCTATCTATCTATCTATCTAATGGATCTAATGGATCTAATCGATCTATCGATCTATCGATCTATCTGTCTATCGATCTATCGATCTATCGATCTATCGATCTATCGATCGATCGATCTATCTATCCATCCTATCTGTCTGTCTGTCTGTCTGTCTGTCTGTCTCTCTATCTATCTATCTATCCATCTATCTATCTATCTATGTATCTATCTATCTATCGATCGATCTATCTATCTATCTATCTATCTATCTATCCGCTTATCTATCTATATATGTGCCTAACTATCTACCTACCTATCTACCTATCTACCTATCTACCTATTTACCTATCTACCTATTTACCTATCTACCTATTTACCTATCTACCTTTCTATCTATCTACCTATCTATCTATCCATCTATCCATCCATCCATCCATCTATCCGTCTATCCGTCTATCCGTCTATCCGTCTATCCGTCTATCTATCTATCTATCTATCTAATGGATCTAATCGATCTATCGATCTATCGATCTATCTGTCTATCGATCTATCGATCTATCGATGGATCTATCTATCTATCCATCCTATCTGTCTGTCTGTCTATCTATCTATCTATCTATCTATCTAATGGATCTAATCGATAAATCGATCTAACGATCTATCTATCTATCCATCCTATCTGTCTGTCTGTCTGTCTGTCTCTCTCTCTCTCTCTATCTATCTATCTATCTAATGGATCTAATCGATCTATCGATCTATCGATCGATCGATCTATCTATCTATCGATCTATCGATCCATCGATCGATCTATCTATCCATCCATCCTATCTGTCTGTCTGTCTCTCTATCTATCTATCCATCTATCGATCTATCGATCTATCGATCGATCGATCTATCTATCTATCTATGTATCTATCTATCTATACATTTTATCTATCTATCTGTCTATCTATCCATCTATCCGTCTATCCATCTATCCGTCTATCCGTCTATCCGTCTATCCGTCTATCTATCTATCTATCTACCTATTATCTATCTATCTATCTATCTTTCTATCTATCTATCTATCTACCTATCTATCTATCTAATCTAATCAAATCTAATCAAATCTAATCAAATCTAATCTAACCTATCTATCTATCTATCTGTCTATCTGTCTATCTGTCTATCTGTCTATCTGTCTATCTGTCGATCTATCGATCTATCGATTAATGGATCTATCGATCTATCGATCTATCGATTAATGGATCTATCGATCTATCTATCCTATCTGTCTGTCTCCCTATCTATCTATCTATCTATCTGTCTATCGATCTATCCAATCTCTCCTATCTCTCCTATCCCTCCTATCTCTCCTATCTCTCCTATCTATCCTATCTATCTATCCTATTTATCCTATCTATCCTACCTATCTATCCTACCTATCTATCCATCCATCTATCCATCTATCGATCTAGCTATCTGTCTATCTGTCTCTCTCACTCTCTCTCTCTTTCTCTCTCTCTCTCTCTCTATCTATCTATCCATCCATCCGTCCGTCTGTCTGTCCGTCCATCTATCCTTCTACCTATCTATCTATCTATCTATCTACCTATCTATCTATCTATCTATCTATCTAATATCTATCTATCGATTGATCGATCGATCTATCTATACATTTTATCTATCTACCTATCTACCTATCTATCTATCTACCTATCGATCTTTCCATCCATCCATCCATCCATCCATCCATCCATCTATCATTCTGTACTATTCTATTCTAGTCTAGTCGATTCGATTCTATTCTGTTCCGTTCTACTCTATCTATTCTATCTTTTCTATCTATTCTTTCTATTCTATCGATCCTATCGATCCTATCGACCCTATCGATCCTATCGATCCTATCCTATCCTATCCTATCCTATCCTATCTATCGATGTAAGCTATCTAATCTATCTAATCTATGTAACCTATGTAATCTATGTGATCTATGTGATCTATCCATCTATCTACCTACCCATCCATCTATCCATCTATCCATCTATCCATCTATTCATCTATTCATCTATCCATCTATCCATCTATCCATCTATCCATCTATCTACCTATCTACCTGTCTACCTGTCTACCTATCTACCTATCTACCTATCAACCTATCAACCTATCTACCTACCTACCTACCTGTCTATCTATCTATCTATCTATCTATCTATCTAATATCTATCTATCTATCTAATCTAACCTAATCTAATCTAATCTTATCTAATCTAATCTTATCTATCTATCTATCTATCTATCTATCTATCTTTCTCTCTATCTATCTATCTATCTGTCTGTCTATCTATCTATCTATCTAATCTATCCTGTCTATCTATCGATCTATCCTATCTATCTATCTGTCTATCTACAGTATCCATCTGTCTTTCAATCTAAATATCTATTCAGCGGTCTTTTTATCTGTCTGTTTATCTTTCTACCTGTGTGCCTGCAACCTTGAAAACGAAGCTTTTCAGCGAGACTTTCTCAATTTTCGAAATTGATGATCAAAAACGAAGCAGTTCTGCGAGACTTCCTTCAAAAATGGAAAGTCGAGTGCAGAGCTGATGGCCTCGTGCCAATACGTTTTGCGATCTTTCCATCCCATGTGTCTAAAAAGTATCGCGCCTGGAACGAAACAGTGTGAGCCCAGGTCATACGAGGTGCTGCACCTGTCATGCAAAATCATCTTAGCAAACTTGAAGCACTGATGCTCCAAAATGCAACCCCTCTCAGCAAATTTGCGCCCTGACCTCCTAACATGTCTGACGGACATGTCTCCTGTATTGTGCCTGCCACGAGAAATGCATCTTTGCAGCGCCTCTTCAGATGTCCCATGCCTGCCATCGTTTTGTAAGCTGCTACAAAACCCACACGTTTGGCTCACTTTTCACCAGGTGCAGAACCCACTGCGCCTGCCACACAAAACGACGCTGGAACGTCCAAAAGTGGTCCGAGCAAGTGGTGCTTTTACTTTGGCTTGGACATGTGCTTTGCGCCACAACGCCGGCACATTTTCAACATCTCAACTTCCAAAAGTGCTCCGACAATGGTGTGTTTTGTACGTTTTGACTTCGAAACGTGCTTCGCACCACATCGCCGTGCACTTTTTCGGCATCTGAACCTCCAAAAGTGGCCCGAGACCGCCAGTTTTTAACACTTTTGACTTCGAAATGTGCTTCGCGCCAAACCGCCGTGCACTTTTTCAACATCTCAACCTCTAAAAGTGCTCCGAACCCGCAGTGTTTTTACATTTTGACTTCCAAATGTGCTTTGGCACCACAGCGCCGTGCACTTTTTGAACATCTCAACTTCCAAAGCTGCTCCGGGCATGAGGCGTTTTTAGCATTTTGACTTCGAAATCTGCTTCGTACCACAACGGCGTGCAATTTTTCATCTGTCATCTGACCAGATTGCTCCGCACCTGCTGCTTTAGCGAGCCTACTTTTCGAGCCTCCGGAGCCCCAAGGCATCGTTTCGCGACTTTTCTACCTTATCGCGCGCCTTCATCTTCTTTCTTCTGACTCTTTCTCTTCTCTTCTCTTCTCTGATATTCTTTCTTCTTTCTTCTTCTCTTCTCTTCTCTTCTCTGACTCTTCCGACGTCTGCTTTTTCCATGTCCATATTGTCGGAAGTTTGACTTCTAAACTTCCTTCGATAATCCTGTCAATTTAAGATCTCTGGGCATGTTTGAAGTTGTATGATTTGAGAAACCTAGGCTCTAGTTCTGATTGTTCCATGAAGTGGTAAAACGCACGACCAATAGAATCTACTGGTCGTGCATTTTACCACTTCATGGAAGCGGCTGAAGGATCACTGCCCTTAAGAGCTTTGTACAGGACAGTCGCAACAGCAATCTGGGAGACTCCTCTTACATGCCCTTTATCAAGAAACGCTCATTCAGCTAGCATCTTTGCACAATCTTTGTTGAGGCTGGGCTGTTGGAAACAAAATGAACACAGATTGCCTGTACTGGCAGATCCCCCCCAAAGAATTACAATGGACCGGCAGTTTGTGTTGTGGAAGCACCCTCTGGCTATTCGACTTTGGGTCTTAGCATGTCTGAGCTGTCTTTCTATTCCAGGAGTTCGACAGGTATAGCAGCTAGTTCTTCTGAATCGAGGGAACCAGGGAACCCTTCATCTTGCTGCTGGTGCATGGTATGGATTCCCGAATTCCAACATGTTGGAGAGATAGGTTGTGGCCCATTTGGAATCCATGCATCGTGGGGCAAACAACTTCCAACTGCAGGCCTCCCCGCAAGTCGTCGGTTTTCTGACATGCATTGAGGTGTACTGACAAGATCTGACGAGATGCTTGAGCGTAGGCAGTCTCAATCACTTCGTGAGAGATGTACTGACCTTAGCATCTCTTCACATGTTGCGAGGCAAAGGTCCATGTCACAAGCGGCCCACGAGGGGAAACAGCGATGACAGGGATATGTTTGGAGGCAAGGTGCATTGGAACTCAGCAGAAAATTGACACTCGTGATCAATCGTGGACTGTCTGGGGTGTGCAAGTGCGACAGTTTTCCGCGTTTCTATCATCAGGGAGCGGCCTATGTCTTAGAACACTGGGAGCTCTCTCTGGCAAAACGGACAGGAGGGATGTGAATCACTGTATTGACAGTATCGCATCAAGATGTTGGGGTGGATCAAATGGCACTTGTTTCCTGAGAACGCCATGGATTTTCCACATCATTCTTCTTGGGATTCTCATGATGGGACTACAGAAAAACCACGTGGTCGTTTGTAGGACGCTTGACCAAGGCAAATCTGCCTCTCATGCCCCAACATTACAAAGTGTAAGCCATGAAAAGATCCATAAAAGGACCGGATAACCCCACATGTCAAGCCTTTATGTATCTAAGCTTAATGTGAACTTCGGGGAGGTGTGAGAAGTGGAACTGTGATGAGTTGGGATGTGATAAGTTGTGATGAGTTGTGATGAGAAGTGGAGCTGTCAGAAGTGGAGCTGTGATGAGTTGTGATGAGCAGTGGAGCTGTGATGAGTGAGGTGTGAGAAGTGGAGCTGTGATGAGTTGGTATGTGATAAGTTGTGATGAGTTGTGATGAGAAGTTGTGATGTGATAAGTGGAGCTGTGATGAGTGGTGCTGATAAGTCTACGGCGGCGGAGGCGGGAACAGGAGCGGAAGTGAAAAACAAGAGCCCGGCACATGATACATGCAGCACACGAGCTCTTTTTCAAGAGAGGCCGCGCAAGTTCAAGCGTCATCATTCTGTGCAGTGTAGGGTACCTGGCACAGGTGATGCGGTAAAGGAAACAAGAAATGAACTGATGAATTTATGTGCCCGAAAGTAGCAGAGTGATACACTGTCGTCTGTATGTTCCCTGTTAAACGTAAAGGTCGAACAGAAGTGTTTCCCAAATTGATTCCAGGAGGCTCTGTGTACTGCGCCTGCCACGCAAAGGCAGCCACGGGCCAGCGGCACCCACGCGCGCCGCAGCTCTGCCAGGAGGCTCTGTGTACTGCACCTGCCACGCAAAAGGCAGCCGCGGGCCAGCGGCGCCCACACGCGCCGCAGCTCTGCCAGGAGGCTCTGTGTACTGCGCCTGCCACGCAAAAGGCAGCCGCGGGCCAGCGGCGCCCACGCGCGCCGCAGCTCGCCAGGAGGCTCTGTGTACTGACCCGGCGACGCAAAAGGCAGCCGTGGGCCAGCGGCGCCCACGTGCGCCGCAGCTCCGCCAGGAGGCTCCTGCCACGCAAAAAGCAGCCGCGGGCCAGCGGCGCCCACGCGCGCCGCACGCTCTGTGCTGCGCCTGCCACGCAAAAAGCAGCCGCGGGCCACCGGCGCCCACGCGCGCCGCAGCTCCTCCAGAAGGCTCTGTGTACTGCGCCTGTGAGTGATTGAGTGAGTGAGTGGGTGAGTGAGTGAGTGAGTGAGTGAGTAGGTTGTGGTGTGATGAGTTGTGGGATGGATCGTGGGATAAGTGAGGTGTGAGAACTCGAGCTGCGAGTGAGTGAGTGCGTGAATGCAAAAGGCAGCCGCGGGCCAGCGGCGCCCACGCGCGCCGCAGATCCGCCAGGAGCACGCAAAAGGCAGCCACGCCTGCCACGCAAAAGGCAGCCACGGGCCAGCGGCGCCCACGCGCGCCGCAGCTCCGCCAGGAGGCTCTGTGTACTGCGCCTGCCACGCAAAAGGCAGCCGCTTGCCCAGCGGCGCCCAAGCGCGCCGCAGCTCCGCCAGGAGGCTCTGTGTACTGCGCCTGCCACGCAAAAGGCAGCCGCGGGCCAGCTGCGCCCACGCGCGCCGCAGCTCCGCCAGGAGGCCTAGCTCCTCCAGGAGGCTCTGCGTACTGCGCCTGCCACGGCAAAAGCTCGCCAGGTGTAGTGCACCTGTACGCAAAAGGCAGCCGCGGGCCAGCGGCGCCCACGCGCGTCGCAGCTCCGCCAGGAGGCTCTGTGTACTGCGCCTGCCGCGCAAAAAGCAGCCGTGGGCCAGCGGCGCCCACGCGCGCCGCAGCTCCGCCAGGAGGCTCTGTGTACTGCACCTGCCACGCAAAAGGCCGCCCCGGGCTAGCGGCGCCCACGCGCACCGCAGCTCCGCCAGGAGGCTCTGTGTACTGCGCTGCCACGCAAATCCCACGCGCGCCGCAGCTCCTCCAGGAGGCTCTGTGTACTGCGCCTGTGAGTGAGTGAGTGAGCGAGCGAGCGAGCGAGTGATAGGTTGTGGTGTGATGAGTTGTGGGATGGATCGTGGGATAAGTGAGGTGTGAGAACTCGAGCTGTGAGTGAGTGAGTGAATGCAAAAGGCAGCCGCGGCCAGCGGCGCCACGCGCGCCGCAGCTCCGCCAGGAGGCTCTGTGTACTGCACCTGCCACGCAAAAGGCAGCCACGCCTGCCACGCAAAAGGCAGCTGCGGGCCAGCGGCGCCCACGCGCGCCGCAGCTCCGCCAGGAGGCTCTGTGTACTGCGCCTGCCACGCAAAAGGCAGTCGCGGGGCGCGCCTCCAGGAGGCTCTGTGTACTGCGCCTGTGAGTGAGTGAGTGAGTGAGGGAGTGAGAGTGAGTGAGAGTTAGTGAGTGAGTGAGTGAGAGTGAGTGAGTGAGGGAGTGAAGGAGTGAGGGAGTGAGGGAGTGAGGAGGGAGTCAGGGCGTGAGGGAATGAGTGAGTGAGGGATGAGTGAGTGAGTGAGTGAGGGAGGGAATGAGGGAGTGAGGGAGTGAGGGAGTGAGGGAGTGAGTGAGAGAGAGAGAGAGTGAGTGAGTGAGCGAGCGAGTGAGTGAGTGAGGGAGGAGGAGGCGGCGGAGGAGGAGGGGGCGGAGCGGAGCCCCGGCGGGATCCAAGCGAAAAACAAGAACCGCACACAATGATGTGGGGAACAAGAACCCCACACAGTGATGTGGGGAAAAGTCAAAACTTTGCAGACCAATCACCACTAATGCCTTGGTAGCCCATGCTGCCAACAATCCTCAGCTGCACTGTCAGATTTCTTGCATACCATACGGCTTCCGATATGATATCAATACCCTATACCCACAACACCCCCCTCGACTTCGTGCCATTCCACGCCTCAAAGCCCCTTTGCAAAGTGTTGACCATGTGAGTTGTGCGGCAAGCCCGCTGAGGTTCACGTACGCGTCAGTTACGGTTCAATAGCAATAGCGTGTGAGTCACTGACTGTCCATAAATCAGTGAGATTCAGTATATAAGTATAAGTGGACTTGCGTGGTGAGTTCAGATCTTAAGTGGGTGAGTGAGCCTCAAGTAAGCCAATTTGCTGTTTCCTTTTGAAGCCTCCTTGCAAATTTTTTGTTTCCTTTTGAACCCGGTATCCTAACTCTTTGTTCTCACAAGGGTCTTTTGCGAATCCTTTCATTTTACTTTCGTGGTCGCAACGATGGCTTTCACGAAAACCCTGCTACAACAACCTCTTTCGCGGACCTTCCGCGGTGAAAGGGGGAAGCCTTTAGTCGCATAGTAAAGATTCAGCCTGGCTTTGTATAGACTTGCACGGGCGGATGGTCTTCGCGCCATATGCGTGATCAACTTTTTCGGGGCGTCTTGGTGCGACTGTTCAAGTGAAAATTGGTTTGAAATAACCCAGAAACTTCAGTTTTCCCTTACTGATGCACACTTGCAGTGGTATTGGCGCGCGCGATCGTGGATTTTGAATGGTTTTAAAACTAGATGTCAGATATGTTTTATCTTTTTTCTCTGAACTTAAGATTTGAAACTATCTCCAAGCCCTGAACTTAAGAATTACTATTGTCTTGGATGACATATTTGGAGCTGCTTGCAAATGTCTCCAAAGTCAAGAGGCTGAGCCTGCACGGATCCTCAAACTTGGCGGTTGGACTTGCGCATAAAAATTAAGCTCAGGGCGATTTCAAACAATACAAATTTTCAACAGATTGATTCATTTGGTCTGTCGGGCTTCGATACATTTTTGTCAAAGCCGGATTTGGAGTGGCTATCTGCTATCTGCAGTTTGGAAAAGTCGCCGGAACCGAAAAACGGGGGAGTTAAATATGGCTAGCATTTTTTGTATTGAGAATTTCCAGAAGGGGGTGGCAGGCAGTGGGCCCAACCCAGAATGTCTTCTGAATCGCACATTTGGATGTAAGTTTATTGCAGAAGGTAGTGTGAGCAAGCAGAAGCAAAGATGCGTGACCAAAAACAAGCTGTCTTGAGCAGCACTATCATCACAGCGTTCACTTCATTGCGCGCCAATCTTTTGCCTTTTACTGAAGGTTGCCGTGAATGGGACGCGTCAATGTGACTTTCACAATTTTTGAGGAGCTTCATGCTCCAACTTTTAAAGGACTTGGAGGATGATTGGAGTAGGGCCCTGAAGGATAGTTGAAGGCAAGAGTAAAAAGAAAAGTGAAGGGATGTGTTTGGGTAGAAGCTGGGTAAGCAACTGCTATAAGAGCATCCTTGCGGCAGGAGCAATAGCGCTATCAGTGACGCTTAGCGGGGGTGCGATGTTTGCTAGTTGAAAACTACTCTCCAGCTCCCACGCCTCAAACTTCATGTTCCAAACTTGGGAATTGAGTTTGGAGATTTGGAGAATTCTCGAGTTTGGAGAAATCTGCAAGCTCAACCGCCGAATTTGGAGAAATCTCCAAACTCAACCCCCGAGCGTGGAGAAAATATCCAAACCCAACCTCGGAGTTTGGAGAAATCTCCAATCTCAATCCTTGAGTTGTGGAAATATCTTTAAAACACCTGCGTTCACGGAAGTGCAGTTTGGAGAGCCGGGTCAGTCAGCAGAAGTCAATTGAGTACCGATAATTCTCCAAACTGAAAGATGTCAGTTTGACGTTCTTTTTAAAAAACTCATTTCTTGCGGTTCTGTCGAGACACTTGTCAAAACTTAACCAGATTTCACCGTTCAAGTTGAGATTTCAATATGATAGTATCTCACGTGTTGCAAGTGTGTAAAGTGAAGCATTGAAGAAGAAACACCAGCTCTCGGAAAGTTGGCACTGATATTGAACAAACGTTGACGTATATAAGTATACATGTGTATGTATTTGTGTATGTATTTGTGTATGTCTGTATGTCTGTATGTCTGTATGTATGTATGTATGTGTATGTATGTGTATGTATGTGTATGTATCTGTATGTATCTGTATGTATCTGTATGTATCTGTATGTATATGTATGTATATGTATGTATCTGTATGTATCTGTATGTATCTGTATGTATCTGTATGTATATGTATGTATCTGTATGTATCTGTATGTATATGTTTGTATATGTAAATAGATGTATGTATCTGCGTGTATCTGTATGTATCTGTATGTATATGTATGTATCTGTATGTATCTGTATGTATATGTTTGTATATGTAAATAGATGTATGTATCTGTGTGTATCTGTATGTATCTGTATGTATCTGTATGTATCTGTATGTATCTGTATGTATCTGTATGTATATGTATGTATCTGTATGTATCTGTATGTATATGTTTGTATATGTAAATAGATGTATGTATCTGCGTGTATCTGTATGTATCTGTATGTATCTGTATGTATCTGTATGTATATGTATGTATATGTATGTATATGTATGTATCTGTATGTATCTGTATGTATATGTATGTATCTGTATGTATATGTATGTATATGTTTGTATATGTAAATAGATGTATGTATCTGCGTGTATCTGTATGTATCTGTATGTATCTGTATGTATCTGTATGTATCTGTATGTATCTGTATGTATCTGTATGTATCTGTATGTATCTGTATGTATCTGTATGTATCTGTATGTATCTGTATGTATATGTATGTATCTGTATGTATCTGTATGTATATGTTTGTATATGTAAATAGATGTATGTATCTGTGTGTATCTGTATGTATCTGTATGTATCTGTATGTATCTGTATGTATCTGTATGTATCTGTATGTATATGTATGTATATGTATGTATATGTATGTATATGTATGTATATGTATGTATATGTATGTATATGTATGTATATGTATGTATATGTATGTATATGTATGTATATGTATGTATATGTAGGTATATGTATGTATATGTATGTATATGTATGTATATGTATGTATATGTATGTATATGTATGTATATGTATGTATATGTATGTATATATATGTATATGTATGTATGTATGTATATGTATGTATGTGTATGTATATGTATATGTATGTATGTATATCTGTGTATGTATATGTATGTATATGTATGTATATGTATGTATATGTATGTATATGTATGTATATGTATGTATATGTAATCATATGTATGTATATGTATGTATATGTATGTATATGTATGTATATGTATGTATGTATATGTATGTATATGTATGTATGTATGTATGTATGTCTGTGTGTATGTATGTATGTATGTATGTGTGTATGTATGTATGTATGCGTATGTGTATGTATGTGTGTGTATGTGTATTTATGTGTATGTATGTGTATGTATGTGTATGTATGTGCATGTATGTGTATGTATGTCTATGTATGTATATGTATGTATATGTATGTATATGTATCTATATGTATGTATATGTATGTATATGTATGTATATGTATGTATATGTATGTATATGTATGTATATGTATGTATATGTATGTATATGTATGTATATGTATGTATGTATGTCTGTGTGTATGTATGTATGTATGTACGTATGTATATGTATGTATATGTTTGTATGTATGTATGTTTATGTATGTTTATGTATGTTTATGTATGTTTATGTATGTATATGTATGTTTATGTATGTATGTATGTATGTATGTATTTGTATGTATTTGTATTAATGTATATGTATGTATATGTATGCATGTATGTTGTATATATGTATGTATGTATGTATGTATGCACGCATGTATGTATGTATGTATGTATATGTATATGTATGTAGGTAGGTAGGTAGGTAGGTATGTAGGTATGTAGGTATGTAGGTATTTAGGGATGTAGGTATGTAGGTATGTAGGTATGTAGGTATGTATATGTATGTTTATGCATGTATATGTATGTATATGTATGTATATGTATGTATATGTATGTGCATGTATGTACGTATTGCATGTATGTACGTATTGCATGTAATGCATGTACTGCATGTAATGCATGTAATGTATGTAAGTATGCAATGTATGTAATGCATGTAAATTTAAATGTAAAATATCTTTATTTAGTTCTAGATAAAGAGTCGGATACTTAGTATTGTTAAGTACTAGTCCTCCAATATTCTTTCCATCATTCTCTAACCGTAAGGCCCGTAATGCCCGCAAGGCCCGCAAGGCCCGTAGAGCCCGTAGAGCCCGTAGAGCCCAGAGCCCATGGAGCCAGTAGAGCCCGTAGAGCCCGTAGAGGTCGTAGAGCCCGTGGAGCCCGTGGAGCCCGTGGAGCCCGTAGAGCCCGTAGAGCCCGTGGAGCCCGTAGAGCCCGTAGAGCCCGTAGAGCCCGTGGAGCCCGTGGAGCCCGGCTCTAAGTGAGCCAAAAGCCAAGCCCTAAGTGAGCCTACAAAGCTCTAAGTGAACCAAAAACTCTAAGTGAGCCAAAGTCCAAGCTCTAAGTGAGCCTGGCGCCTTTGGCACCTGCATCTTCTTTCTTCTCTCTCTTTCTCTTCTCTGATCTTCTTCTTCTTCTCTTCTCTTCTCTTCTGACTCTTCCCATCTCTGCTTTTCATCTGTCCATGTTGTCAGAAGTTTGACTTCTAAACTTCCTCCTTCGGTAATAAAGGCCTCAATAGCTACTGCCGTTTGGGAATTGCAGCAGAAAAAGTAGGGTAGACTAAAAAGAAAACACACCGCAAGACCGAAAGACATGTATACACCATATCTATCTATATATATATATATAAATAATTATAGTTTTATATATATATATATCCGTGTGGATTAGTATTTCGGCTACCGGCCCCTGGTTGACTGTCCCAATCTTGACTTTGACAATGTTTGAAATGCCCCTGCTTGGT